GCTGAACATGATGGGGACATGTTCAATCAAAAGTAGATCTAGATCTAGATCTAGATCTAGATTTAGAAATCTAAGTGAATGGATCAAAATTAACTAACTTTTTCACAAGATGTGTAGAATAGGCTACTCACTCAGACTCTCAGTGCAATAAATGACTTGAAACTTGAAGAGAAGCTGGAAAATCATCCAACATTGATGGTTGGCAGCAGTCAAGGCATATGTTGTCTTTGCCTTCGATTTTGAGAAGTTTACAATACACTTTGAATTGAAACATTGGAGGCTTGAAAAAGTAAAAGTGGTGATCATGATGATCTATCTATAGTCCCTAGTCCCTAGAATCTAGTAGTAGATCTACAATCTCTATCTAGATCTCTCTAGGCCTATGTTTTTACAGTTATTTAGGCAAGCTAGAATCTAGATCTAGATTTAGATCTATCTAGATTAGATCTGACCACAGTCTAGGGATGTTCCTTGTCAACTTTGCTCTCCGTGCAACAGTAGATCTAGCCTAATAACAGCAACTGACTTACCAGCAGGAGACCCAATCAGTCAGCCGTCGTCTTGTAGTTCTCATCTCATGGTGATAGACTGGGAATTTAGATCACAATCTCAGAAAGTAGCCTCTCGCCAACACCATCTTGCTTATTAGAACCTAAAGTTTGTTTTAAATCATTTTTTAACAATAAAAACGCCAAATAAAGTCCTAAATCTGCCACACGGCAAGGCATAACTTGTCACCACGCGTCTTGTTGACAAAGAAAATGACACACCTACACACCACTGACCACACACGATCTACACACACACCTGAACTGAACCGGTAAGTCGCCTTCTAGTTCTACCAGCGATACGATAGGCTCGAGAAGAGAATCGCCCCCCATTATTAGATCTAGATCTATATCTAGATCTAATTAGTATTGGTGCTTCGAGACGTTTTCTGGGCATCTAGATCTAGACTCTATATCCAGTCTGTCAAGACAGAAACCTTACTGGATTGCATCACGGCCACTGTCGTTTCTTCTCGAGCATTGCGCTTGTTTTTATTTTTCTTTCTTTTCCCCCATTTGGTTTGACCTGACCGCATTTTGACCCCTGCTGGCCAGATTTTACTGACTCGAAATGCTGCAGCGGAATAATCATTTCATCGGTGGAAAGATTTTAAAAAAATAATATAGAAAAATACAACAATACGTTTTCTTGTCAGTACTTTACTTGTTTGAATAAATCAAAGCGATAGCTATTGTGCTATTTTTCTCAAAATCATACATTTGATGTCTGTATCTCTCCAGAGCAGCGCATGGTTCTGTTAAAATATAATGGCGTCTGAGAAAGTAGGCCCTAGATCTGTAACCTAAACAAAGGGCCAAACTGTCAAGTTTTCGTTTCACCGCCTGTGTGACATACCTTGATCTAAATGGCTATTGACAGGTCAACCGATCAACGAAAAAAGGGGGGGGGGGAACAAAAAAACACACAAAAAACCCAGCTGAGTCCATTGTGCATTGTGCCTTGAAGTTGAAGTCTTTGACAGAGTGCCCACATGCAATAGAAGGTCAAGGGAACTGCTATTTGCCTCATACCATATCCTGGCCAATAGATTGCCTTAAAACCACTGTTTGTTGTTGTTAGTTTTTTACCTTTAGCTTTGATCCAATGAGAGAGAGAGAGAGAGAGAGAG